CCTTTTTTTTTTTTTTTTTTTTTGAGGTGGAGTTTCACTCATGTTACCCAGGTTGGAGTGCAATGGCGCGATCTCGGCTCACCGCAACCTCTGCCTCCTGGGTTCAGGCAATTCTCCTGCCTCAACCTCCTGAGTAGCTGGGATTACAGGCACGCGCCACCATGCCCAGCTAATGTTTTGTATTTTTAGTAGAGACGGGGTTTCACCATGTTGACCAGGATGGTCTCGATCTCTTGATCCACCCGCCTCGGCCTTCCAAAGTGCTGGGATTACAGGCGTGAGCCACCGCGCCTGGCTTTTTTTTTTTTTTTTTTTTTTTTAAGACAGGGTTTCACCATGTTGGCCAGTCTGGTCTTGAACTCCTGACCTCAGGTGATCCGCCCGCCTTGGCCTCCCAAAGTGCTGGGATTACAGGCGTGAGCCACCGCGCCCAGCCCACAAAATAAGTTTGCCTTTAATCTATTTTCTCCATATCTAAATATGAGAGTTTAAGAGTGTGGACAGAATTGAAGACATGGAGTTTTTTTTTTTTACTTCTGTGATGCCATCATCCTTTGTTCACTGCCTGATCTCTAAAAGAAAGGTGGGCAGGCCGGGCGCGGTGGCTCAAGCCTGTAATCCCAGCACTTTGGGAGGCAGAGGCGGGTGGATCACGAGGTCAAAAGATCGAGACCATCCTGGTCAACATGGTGAAACCCCGTCTCTACTAAAAATACAAAAAATTAGCTGGGCATGGTGGTGCGTGCCTGTAATCCCAACTACTCAGGAGGCTGAGGCAGGAGAATTGCCTGAACCCAGGAGGCGGAGGTTGCGGTGAGCCGAGATCGCGCCATTGCACTCCAGCCTGGGTAACATGAGTGAAACTCCGTCTCAAAAAAAAAAAAAAAAAAAAAAAAAGGTGGGCAACAGGTGGTAAGCAGTGGTTTACCTGTGGTATTTTATTCCTGCCACCCTCAGCTATTTCTATGGCCACTGTCTGTTCCACCCTCGAAACTGAAGAGAGATATTGGTAGGGGGAGGTTCTTCCTTCACCTCTGGCCCTTCCACACATCAGAGCTGCCATGTGTGGATCCTGGGTGCCAGGAATGAGCCTGGTCTGAACTGCAATGTTCTAGAAAGGTAAAATATAGAGTTACTTTCAAAATGTAGTTGCAAATATTTATATACTTCATTAATAATTACATATTCCTCATACATTGAAATGACATTTTGGATATATTGGGTTAATTACATTGTTAGAATCAATTGAACCTGTTCCTTGTTTCTTTCTAAAGTTTGGCTACTAGAAAATTCAAATTTCACACGTGGCTCACATTTTATTTCAGAAAATTCCCTCCTTTTTAAAATCTCAGGTTGCCTGCTCGAAGGACGACAAGCCAGGAAGGTAAAAAAGCTAAACTTTTTTTTTCTTTTAGACACAGTATTGCTGTCACCCAGCTGAAGTGCAGTGGTGTGATCTCAGCTCACTGCAACCACCCCCCGCCTGGGTTCAAGTGATTCTCCTGCCTCGGACTCCTCCTGAGTGGCTGGGAATACAGGCAAGCACCGCTCTGCCCAGCTAATTCCATCTTGACCAGGCTGGTTTTTAACTCCTGACATCATTATCCACCCACCTCGGCCTTTCAGAGTACTGAGATTATAGTCGTGAGCCACCATGCCCAGCCACGATGTAATATGTTATTTACAAATGCATATGACCTTATACACAAGGTTGAATGCAAATATTCTCTAGGTTGGGCCTGGCTCAGCTCAGGAAATAAGCCTTGCTGAGAAGACTGCAGCCTAGGCTGACACTCTTTCTTCATTCAGCCCATCATCTAATCTCACAGCCTGAGAGGGTGGAATTTAAACGTTATTCAGACCAGGTGCAGTGTAATCCCAGGACTTTGGGAGGCCGAGGTGGCAGATCACCTGAGGTCGACAGATTGAGACCAGCCTGACCAACATGGAGAAATCCCATCTCTACTAAAAATACAAAAATGAGCCCAGCGTGGTTGTGCATGCCTGTAGTCCCAACTACCTGGGAGGCTGAGTCAGAAAAATCGCTTGAACTCAGGAGGTGGAGATTGCAGTGAGCCGAAATCGCACCACTGCACTGCAGCCTGGAGGACAGAGGGAGAGTCCATCTCAGAAAAAAAAAGTTATCTGATGAGCGATGCTGGGCTGGGAACTGTTTAATTAGGCACGCAGCTGGAGGTAACAGCGCGGATTTTGCATTTGGTAGGGCCTCTGTCTCTCGCTGCAGCTAGAGTTCCAGGTCTACTCTTCATTGTTCTGTGTCTTCTGCTCCAAGAGACCCAGGCTGTGTGCCCCGGTGACCTGCAGGTAATGGGAGATCCACAGCTAAGATGCCAGGACCCCCTGGAAGCCTAGAAATGTTGAGAGTGTCAGTTCTGACATCCCGAGAGGGGAAGGGGGTGATTGGGACCAGTGGGAAGCGGCTGTGGCAGGACTCAGGCCTCCCCGCTGTCAGCTCCACAATCTGCACCCCCGAGTTCTTGCCCAGCTTGGCCTCAGTTTCCTTCAGCCACAAGATGGTGGCTTTGCTGACAGCCAGAACAGGGGCGTCCTGTATCTTCCCTACACAGTGACTGTGCCCTGGCCTGGAGCCCTCCCTGAGCAGCTTTGCACCCACAGCACCAAGTCTCTCCCGGATTGTGCAGGTACCACGGAAGGGTCATTGGGGAGAATCCTGCCTCGGGCTGTGGGTTCATGAATGGGAATGTTGCAGAATTTTAGAGACTGAAAAGACTGTTGAGGTTGCAGAAGGAGTTTATTTTACGTGTACACTGGCCCAGGTTTACTTGGATTTAAAATGGCTGAGCCCTTAACAAAGACAGGGTTTGGCCTTTTACACATGAAGTACACAGTGGCGCTGAAATAAGTTTGCAAGTATAGAACAAAGCAATTTATTAAGCAATGACAGGCACCTGCCTTAGGCTTACAGATGACTCTTGCTGTGCAACCCAGATGTTTGCTATTTGTAGAGCTCAAGGATTCTAATACGTGCCTTATCTATTGCTTTCTGTTACAGTACCCAGAAGGCCAGAGGTCTGCCTGACTGGGCATTTTTTATGACCTTTGCCATGTTGCAGAAACACAGTTATTAGCTATAGAGAACAAAAATATAAGAATTTATAAACTTATAAAACTTGCAAAGCAGGATACAATTCCACAAGAGGGGGAATAACTTAGGAAAGTTTGCTTATGAAAGAAAAGTTTTATTTCTCCTTTTCTTTCCTGCATTAATTGTATTTTTCTCTTCAGTATTCTGAAACATTAATTTTATTTTATTATTATTATTTTTTTTGAGACAGAGTCTCTCTGTGTAGCCCAGGCTGGAGTGCAATGGCATGCTCTCAGCTCACTGCAACCTCCACCTCCCAGGTTCAAGCCATTCTCCTGCCTCAGCCTCCCACGTAGCTGGGATTACAGACATGCGCCACCAAGCCCAGCTAAATTTTATTTTTATATTATGTGGTTTTATCAATTTCTTTCTCCTCTTGATCCCTCCCTTTAGTGCGCTTTTATGTAAGTAATACTTTTAATAGAACACACCACTATAATGGTCTTTTTGAAGATAGTACTAAACTATATGCAGGAGAGAGTACCTGGATAAAACAGAGTTTTAAATTGCCTTTTTAAAATTTTATTTTTATTTTTTATTTTTTTTAAGACAGGGTTTCACCATGTTGGTCAGGCTGTTCTTGAACTCCCGACCGCAGGTGATCCGCCTGCCTTGGCCTCCAAAGTGCTTGGATTACAGGCATGAGCCACCACGCCCGGCCAATTGCCTTTTATGTAAGTTGCACCTTGGTTGTTTTAAGCTAAAGTTTTACTTTCTTTTACTTTGGGATGACTAATAGAGGGTAGGCATGCTTCGTGGCTGCTCTGCTTTAGTACCTCCAGTGAGGCGTAGTGCCAGGGCCTTTTTTTTTTTTTTTTTTGCCTTGGCCTTTGTGCACCTGTGTGACTGTGCCTATTTTAGGTTATGCCTCCCTTGAGGAATCCTACCTGTCATTGGCTAGCCAGCCATCTTCTGGGGCTAGTTAGGATGCCATGGTGGTTCTAATGAGGTTTAGATAGAATTTTTTGAAACTGGCCGGACGCGGTGGCTCACACCTGTAATCCCAGCACTTTGGGAGGCTGAGGCGGGAGGATCACGAGGTCAGGAGTTCAAGACCAGCCTGACTAACATGGTGAAACCCCATCTTTACTAAAAATACAAAAATTAGCTGGGCATGGTGGCGCGTGCCTGTAATCCCAGCTACTCAGGAGGCTGAGGCAGGAGAATTGCCTGAACCCAGGAGGCAGAGGTTGCGGTGAGCCAAGATTGTGCCACTGCACTCCAGCCTGGGTAATAGAGTGAGACTTCATCTCAAAAAAAAAAAAACAAAAAAAAACCTTTTTGAAACTGACTGCAGGCCTTTGAGATCTCTGCTTTGATATACCTTCGAATTACCTTGATAAAGAATTTAGCCTTTTGTCTTTATTGAGGTGCTGCTGAGTTAATTTGCTTTATCCAGTTATTCTGGTTCCTGTTTTGGTTTACTTAAAATTTGCAGAAGTTTGATAAGCCTCCAGACAGCTCATGGTGGGGGTGGCAGGGACAAGATAGGCTTTTTTTTTTTCTCTGACGGACAGGTTGATACTTAATTAAGGCCATTATTTGGGTGGTGGTATGCCTAGCTACTGCTGCTTCTGTGGTTAACTGCATGCTTTGAAAGAAGGGAGGCAAGAGACATGGGAGGATTAAGCAAGTACGTAGAATAAGCATAAACCCTCCTATTAGTGTTGTACATTCTCTTTTTTTTTTTTTTTTTTTTGAGACGGAGTTTCACTCATGTTACCCAGGCTGGAGTGCAATGGCGCGATCTCGGCTCACCGCAACCTCCGCCTCCCAGGTTCAAGCAATTCTCCTGCCTCAGCCTCCTGAGTAGCTGGGATTACAGGCACGCACCACCATGCCCAGCTAATTTTTTGTATTTTTAGTGGAGACGGGGTTTCACCATGTTGGCCACGATGGTCTCGATCTCTTGACCTCGTGATCCACCCGCCTTGGCCTCCCAAAGTGCTGGGATTACAGGCTTGAGCCACCGCGCCCGGCCTAGTGTTGTACATTCTTTAAAAGATGAGAACTAGGCTGGTCCGATGGTAGTGGGTTATCAGAACTTATTAACATTAGTGTCACTAAAGTTGGTATACAACCCCCCACTGCTAAATTTGACTGGCTTAAAAAAAATAAAAATAAAAAAAATAAAAAAAAATAAAAGATGAGAACCATTCAGGTTTCCAAGTTTGAACTGGGACATGGGCCAACTTTTGCATTTTTGCAGTTATTTTCATGACAGCATTTTTACTATTACTAATTTATAAGCAACAGGTTAAACGTTCCACATGGGCCAGGTGCTGTGGCTCATGCCTGTAAAGGCAGCACTTTGGGAGGCCAAGGTGGGCAGATCACCTGAGGTTGGGAGTTTGACACCAGCCTGACCAACATGGAGAAACCCCGCCTCTACTAAAAATGCAAAATTAGCTGGGTGTGGTGGCGCATGCCTGTAGTCCCAGCTACTTGGGAGGCTGAGGCAGGAGAATTGCTTGAACCCAGGAGGTGGAGATTGCGTTGAGCCTACAGGGCACCGTTGCACTCCAGCCTGGGCAACAAGAGCAAAACTCCATCTCAAAATAAAAATAACTTTTTTACATATGCCTCCTTCCTGGACCAGGAGGTAATTGAAAACTAGTTTGTTTTGGTAAATAGCATTTTTTAAATGTCTGTGGATTGTACAGTCAACAGATATAAAGCTTGTGCAGTTTTATTGGTAATGATTTTGAGCACTGCTTGTAATCTTATAGTGCAATTAAGCATGCAAATAGGAGTGTGGTTCCCCCATGACCTGTCATGTGCCCAAGTAGCTGGCCTGTAATACTGAATAATTCTTTTACGTGGCCAATTAGTGTTTTTCCAGTTTTCTATTTTTATACCTTCTCTGATATTTACACTTCTTTTACTTCTGTTTTTTACTTTATTATAAACAGGGCATCCTAGAGTTTCTCATAGCTGTAAAGGGACTAAGAAGAAGGATGGTCTAATTTTTCGTAGTATGCAGACCTCCTGTTCCATTAGCTGGTAATTGTCAATAT